AGGTTGTCGAAACGTCAGTCACCAACAACAGTTCTTTTCAGAACTACACTCACCCGGACGATCACACTATACGAACTACTGATACTCCTGGGTTCAAAGCATTTACTGAATAAAGTTGTTGTTGTTGTTGCTACATAAATTGCCAAGCAGGAAGTTAAAAAGACACAGATAAAAAAAGTTTATTCAAATTGTTGTCAACAGATGGAATATGAATGTTCATATTTTCCAGTCCCTCTCTCCTCTAACATCTTTCGTGCTGCTCTGACCGTAAAGACTTCTTGGCCGTAGTCTGGTAGTTCGGAGGCTGAGGAGAGAGAAAAACGGAAGCGCGCTTCCCATCGTTCCCTGCGCGCCCTCCTAAACCCAATATTATTATTCAATTTCCCATAAAGGGAGTCTCTGCGGAGGAGAGAGTTCCAGTCCTGAAGCTTTGCTACTACTCAGGCTTCGATGTCACGAATTAGTTGCTTGTGTGCATTTACGTAGCAAATTTGTTTCTGCATCTCCAGAAGAGCCAATTGGCCCATCAAGCTTTTTCCTGTTTCTGTAGCATGAAGCGACTAGGAATATTTCTACTCCCCCCTGGATGGGATGCTAGTCCATCGAAGGGTTACCCCCAGCATTAAATTCGCCGGTACGCGTTTATACACCTGGGTGGGTGGAGAGAGGCACTATGAAGGTAAAGTGTCTTGCCCAAAAACACAACATCTTGTCCCCGGCCAGGGCTCGAACGCGGACCCCTCGATACGAAGACGAGCGCACTAACCATGAGGCCAACACTCATCCCATAGGAGCTAACTGTACCTTCCGGAAAATGTATTCTGCTCTTGATGTTTCCCTTCTTGGTTGTTTTTGGTCAATCGCGGTGCTAATGCTTGTCGCGAATTTAAACTGGCTGGGTGCATCTCGTGGTTTCACTAGAAAAATGAGTACGTTAAAATGGAAGAATTAAACCTGAGCTTTTCTGTGAAGGTCAAAAGGGAAGGCCAAAAGAGTTTTGCTATTGTATTGAGAAACTTGGTTGTCAGGAGGACAGGACGAGACAGATATTCCCTAAAGCGAGAAAAACGAGAAATGCGTCTGCGTGGTAAAAATGTTTAGAAAGTAACTTAAGACCAGCCAAAAACGGTGTCAAGACCAGTAACTATTATTGCATCTCTAAAGTAAAATTTTAGGATATTGTTATCCACGAAAATTATAACAAAAAACATCAATTTTAGGCGATGACGTTGGGTGTCACTGAGCGATTTTTACCACTGAAACTACCCTTTCAGTTTTGCTATTGTATTGATAAACTTGGTTGTCAGGAGGACGGGACGAGACGGTTAAACAAACTATTTATAAGAGATATAAAATGGTTGTTGTCAAATGGACTTTTCAAAGTGACATTTTATGCCAGTTGACTAATACATACAAAATAAGTTGAAATAACGCTGCACATGCACGAGACAAAAAGATATCGATGTTGGTGACTTGAGATAATCATTTTCCAACTAACGATGTAGTTTGTTTCCTTGAAACTGGGAAAAACTGGCGTTTGGAAACATTGGTCTCCATGTTGACATTAAGCTGTTTGAAGTAACCATTTGAGAATAACAACGCACCGTCTACGCAGGAATTTAATAAGCAGAAGTTAGAGATATAACAAAAGGTAAGCTGTGACTCTGTTTGCTCTAAGGCCGATCTAAAGTTGGTAACTGTCGTACGTGTAACTGACAGCAGTCAATTACAACTGTCAGAGCTTACTGGCAGCTGTAAAGTTGAAAATAGCAGGTGCTTAGCTTTATTAGTCTGGGGAAGGTATTTTGTTATTTGCTTACTGAAATGTTCTTAGAGCGATTAAGTCGACGAAAAATTTGTCTTCATGATAAAAATTTCAAGAAAAATGGGATCAAACAATCGTTCTATTGTTTATAAAGTCAAGCTTTAGCCCACTGTGGTGCACCAAAGTTGTGCATAAAAATTTTAAATAAAAGATGGTAAATTAATTAAGCTACATGTAGGGTCGACAAGGCACGTTTTCTCTTCAGCTCAGAATTTTTCTTGAATAAATTTGACTATCACAGAGACGTAAAGTGGCGGTTGAAAAAACCAACCTCCTGTGTAAAGTAATTAATGGTTATAGCGGGTGCAAAACCAGTTTTTTGAACTTCCGATCATTCGAAGCAAGTTTTTGCCTTCTTGGTAAGGAACTTAGCAGAAATTTACAATCGATTTTTCAAACCTCCCCATTTTGACCAATTTCTGTTACCCCAGTTGGCTTTAACAAAATCGCTATTACACAATTAAAAAAAAAAAAACTTACGATCGTGACGTTTCAAGCAAACAACTTAACTAAGAGACATAAATTGGTATCAAAAAGGTAGGCGTGTCACTATTATCGTCCCTTTTATAGAAATTGTATTTTACGTACGTTTAGGTATACTGTTTGGGTATTTGGTATCTAAAATAATCCCTTTCCAACTAACAATACAGCGTTTCTTTTTAATAATTAATCAGAGACTGGAATAAAAAGAGGTTGTAAGACCCACTGCTTTCTGTGCAAAGATGACAAGACGTAACTTAAGAACATTGACATTTTATCGTTTACCAATGAATCTATCTAAGCTATTTTTTTATTTACAGAATAACTTTGAGTCGCCAAAAGCGATTGCAATATAGATTTTTTTTTGGCATTTTGAATACGGCATTGAAAGCTAAAAATTTTGAAAGCCAAGGTATAACCTCCCAGTTGGCACGAATACAGAAGAGCTTGATAGAGCACACGACTCGGCTTCATTGTCGAAGGTAGGCTAGCTTTTTTATATTTGGTCGATGAAAACTACTCAAAGTAATAATAACTGCAAATTGGTAATCGTGATAAACCTTGAAGAAAGATATGTCGAGGAAAGTATGGAAAGATAACAGCCCCTCTATAATTTCGGAATCAAACACAATACCAAATGGTAGCTTATTAACGTCTATACTTGTTATACGTGTGGGATGTCGCGGCAACTTAAGCAAAAGAAACTTATCACGTTTTTATTACCACTGTGTTACTTTAACTTTACCTATACTCGACTTTACGTTCCCTAAAGTATTTCACGTCCTTGTGGACGATAAACCTAAGCAAAGGATGAGACGATGGTTTTTTGACAATATTTTTTTGGCGAGACTTTTACAAGAAAAGCTTTAAAAAATTCTTTTCACGAGACTTTTCGCTGAGGATGATTACCTATTTCCAAGAAGAGGATCTGGCTAAGAGAATAAGAACGAAAGGTACCAAAATTAGTTCCCGTTGATTTAACGGCATTTCTCAGGCCTAAACAGTACGTTTGAAAAACATAATGGAATTTGCAGTTTTGAGAATTTTCTGGAATATTTCCTCTGGCATCAAACAATTTAGAATGGGACAGTTTGTATTTGGGTAGAAGTTCAGACATGTTTAGGTTTGGATAAACTATCGAGCCAAGTGGCTGGCATAAAGAAATAAATTGGAAGTCTTGATGTTTCGCAAATTGGAAAAAGGTCTTGTATGTAGAATACCAAATTGAAAAAAAACTTAGATATATGATTGTATTTATGGACACAGCGTTTCAAGGCTATCGAGTTACAGAAATTTCTTTGGCAATGTTTTTGCAAATCTAGAGAGCCGATATATATGTGTGTGTGAATATAAATCAGTTTAACAGAGAAGTTGGATATTGCAACAATCATAACTTAGTAGTTATTTTTAACCTTTTAATGTTAAATATTTTAAAATATTTTTAAGCGTAAGGAGTCAAAACAATCAACTGATATGTTTTTACAACTTTGTTGTACACTGATCTACCAATCCTTGTGCGCTAGGTGGGAATTATTCTTTCGGTACAGAGGCTTTACACTTCTAACATGTAAATATTTCCCACTGTCATTTCTTCTTTGCTTATTTATTTTATGATGATTTAATAATGATTTAAGACATTCAGGGCTTATTTTTACCTTGGAAATAGCAAAGCTTTTTTCCAAGTTGCAGGAATTGTGGGTGAATTTCGCTCCTTTGCTCCTTCCTTCCTTTCTTGTTATCCATTTCGAATATTTGCTGACCATTGCCCATGGTTAAGATGGCGTCGTCTGCCAAGCTTTGAAAGATCTGAAACTTTTCCACGACCAGTGGCCTCTGCGTTTCTTGAAAGGAATACTCAAACCTTCTAACTCAACTGTAAATCAACTGAAGCAGACACTGCCCTTACCTGGTAGCACACAGTACACGCCCAAATCTCTCTAACACCAGGGTTGTTTACCATTACCCAAAAATTCCGGAAATCGGTCAGCGCGTAAATGGTAAGACAATTTTGGCTCGATCGACTGGAAATTTTCGAAATAAATGGAACGTCTTGAAGCGTAGTCAAAAATTTCCAGCCGAAATATCCAAGTGGTAATGTCTTTAACATTTGCAAATATCTTGGAATTATGATCAGGTCGAACTTATCCTTGTCTATTTCGGTAAATTGGGGGTTTTGAGGAAATGGTAAATGGCCAATCCGAACCGAACTTACTATCAGACAATTTCGCTTTCCATTTGCACAAACTGTTGACGAACCAGTTTCTCCATGTTAATGGTAAACAATGCAGGAGTCACGTCCTCCATGCGTAGTTCAATGGCAAAGTTCAGGCAGCTGCACAAAATTAAAAATATTCTCCCACTCTGGAAGAGAATGCTGGCAATCTGTAATATCCCTCTTTCTATAAAAAGAGCCCAGCTCAGCTATTATTAGGCATACCATCTCATGACTTTCTTCAGTTCTAGATTTTAAAAAGGCTAATTATAATGAAGAATTTCTAACAAAAACTACAAGGTAGATAATTCAACATGCCAAGAACTGGGAGAAATTCTACTATGATTAATACACTCTTATCCTACCTCCTCTGAAATCTGTATCCCATATTGCAATCTGCTGCACCCAGGAGTCGGTGAGTCGCGAAAGTCAGGTGGTCAGTATTACTTTGACTTTGATTGGTCCCTTGCTGCGACTGTTCCTTAAATCAACTCTCTCTATCAACCTTACGTACGATGAGCAATTACCTGCAATTGGAAGAACGTACGTGAAGCCGGCAAACTAACAAAGTAACTATTTACAGTTTTGGTTGACATTTTACCTAATACATCCCATAGAAGGAGAGAGATATTCTGATCTTATTCTGAGAAATAGGAAGATGAGGGATTTGCGTTACATCTAAGACCCAGTGGTCTGGTCAATTTAACGCTATCTGTTTGTTTACTTATTTCAGTATTTAATGGTAATAAGGTATTCCCCTGAAAGGCGCATTGATGTAAGAAGGAGTAGTCTTGTAATGTGTAGTGGATCGAATTGTCTTTGGATACCTTTAATTACACCATGCCATAGGAAATACAGCCAATCAGAATACAGGAAAGTCGTTATATACTATGGACGGTATTAAACCCATTCTTCCCATCGTGCGCTTACGCTTTATCAAACTATATACCATGGAATATCGAACTTGTTACTTGTATTTTTATAACAAAAGGCTTATGTATATACCAAGAAAATACAAGTGATAAGTGTGAGATTCCGTGGTATAGATCTCGAAAGCGTTGCATACCCTTGAGTGCCAATAAAAATAATAAATGATAAATGAATAAACAAATTACCATATTTCTTTTTAAGGACAATGAAGTTCTTTGTCTTCTTCGCAATACTTTGGGTTTCTGCTGTGTTTTTTTCTCTCAAGGATGCAGAAGGAGCCAATCAGCAAGCTGAGGTAAACATGTTACGTAATCACAAATATCGTCATAGCAATCTCGATTTCTTTTATTTCCTTTAGCGTTATGCCATCACAGATGAAGATGGTAACCATTCAAAAATTTGAGTCAAAAATGTGAGATATAATAGATGATTGATCTATAAAAAACCTTGTCAAGATATACGGGTCTGCGGTTGTTCACAACTGCGTCATTCGGAGAACCATTTTACCCAAATTGATAGAAGTTTCCAAGGAGACGTCACTGGGACGGGAACCAATATCGGGCTGCCTTAGTAGCAAATGAAACATTTGTATTTGAGTCCTTATTCGTTTAGTGTTAGTGTTATCACAGTACTGTTAACAGAAGTTCCAATGTATTCAATATCAATATCAAAGATTAAAAATATTCGCTAAAAGTATTTTGTAAAATAGTTGAATTAGCTGCATTGCTTTATACACGATAACGTGTCATTAAAATTATGGTCCAACTTCGCGCAAATCGAGTGTCATATAAGAATCAGCCAAAGGGGTAAGTTTCTTTATGTTTTACGTCTCGCAGACAAAGAAATAGAGATTATTTCGGTACTTTCTGGGCGCCAAAATATCTAGTGGTGACCGCTTGTTCCCCTCCGCCATTATGTAGTGTTCATATGACCTAGTTTCTCGTGGGGCGGGAAATTCGTGTACGACCGTCACGCTGAATTCTAAGTCGTTGATAAGGTGCTGCTTTGTTTCTGTTGTTGGCGATCCGAAATACTACTACTGTATTGGTCTGCGTGTTTAAGACGGAAGACCTTGAGCTGCTGTGTCAGTGATAGTGATGGCGCTGGGTACATATTTCATAAGCACATGATCATTCGATCGCTTATTTGTAATTATTTGATTTCTATTGCAGAGCTTTCTTCAAACTTTGCAAGACCCTGGTAAGTCTATCATTTATTGTTAGCACGTTCGTTTTTACTTCGAACGCATGAATCAATACCTTAATATGCAACGTACTATCATGAGGTTTTTTTTGTTTTCAATAGAGTGTCAAACGTTTACTCGGACAAAAAAAAACCACACACACACAAAGTGGTTGTGTTATTCCGTCTTTGAATCTTAACAGTTCTCATGAAGCGTTTTAGTAGTAATATCGCTAACCTTAACATCTTTATTCATAGCACTCTGGAGGTCGATCAAGACGTCGTTTTCAATGTTTTGTAAGCCAGAATCAAAATAATTTTACGTATTAACCAAAACTAACAGGCTCAGCGGAGCTAGTTAGGAGAGAGAACGTGGCCAAATGATTAGGGCGCCGGACTTGAACTACAAAGGTCGCGCCCTTGACAATCCGATGGAGTTGCTTCTCGGTAGACCCGAGTTCAACAATTCGCCCCCGATTGTAAGAAGCCCCCAGGTCTCCTTCCAACTGACCTTTTTAACAATCCTAGCACTTTAACTTTGCTGTCTTCCATTAGCGTTTGCGCTATAAACCGTGACCTACAGTAAATAAACGTAATTTATTGTATTTTATTTATTTTGTCGGAAAACAAGGGAACAAAACCAAAACTAGCACAACTGGAAAACATGCCAATAAACACCATCCGCCAGGCCACAGTAACATAACTGATAAAAGTAAACAACCTGAAACCAATCAAGGTAATAAAAGTCAAGAAATGACCTTTGGCAACACCGCTGGAAGCGTTGGTCAACAAGGAGCCAACACGGGGAATGTTGCTGTTGGCAATCAACTCAATAAAGGCCAAGGGAACATCTTCGGTTACGGTGTGAACAATCTTGGCAGTCTTGGAACTCTTGGTACTTTCGGCAAACTAGGAACCACCTCTTGGAATATTAATGGTGCCAGTCATGGCATTACAGGATCTGGGTTCCACTTTGGTAATACCGTTAGTAATGTTGGTCAGCAAGGAGCAATTACAGGAAATCAAGTCAACAAAGGTCAAGAAATGACTTTTGGCAAGACAGCTGGCAGCGTCGGTCAGCAAGGGGTCAACGCGGGAAATGTTGCTATTGGAAATCAAGTCAATAAAGGCCTATGGAACATCTTTGGTCCCACTCTGGGCAATCTTGGCAAACTAGGAACATTCTCATGGAAATTTAATGGTGCCATTCCTGGAACTAAAGGAAATGGGTTCAATTTTGGCAATACCGTTAGCAGCGTCGGCCAACAAGGAACCCAAACAGGCCAAGAAATGAAGTTTGGCAACACTGGCGGAAGTGTCGGCCAGCAAGGAGCTAACAAAGGGAACGTTGCTATTGGTAACCAACCCAATAAAGGCCACGGGAACATCTTTGGGTACACTGTGGGCAGTCTTGGCAGTCCCGAAAGCCTTGGAAAGCTAGGAGCCATTTCATGGAATATTAATGGTGCCACTAATACCATCAACGGACATGGATTAACATTTGGCAATACACTCAGCAGTATGGGCCAGCAAGGAACATATACGGGTAATGTCGCTGTTGGCAATCAAGTTAGCAAAGGCCAAGAAATGACATTTGGTAACACCGCTGGTAACGTTGGCCAACAGGGAGCCAATATGGGAAATGTAGCTGTAGGAACCCAAGTCAATAAAGGACAACAGCATACTGGAAATGTTGCTGTTGGCAATCAACTTAACAAAGGCCAAGAAATGACATTTGGTAACACTGCTGGTAACGTTGGCCAACAGGGAGCCAATATGGGAAATGTAGCTGTAGGAACCCAAGTCAATAAAGGACAACAGCATACTGGAAATGTTGCTGTTGGCAATCAACTTAACAAAGGCCAAGAAATGACATTTGGTAACACTGCTGGTAGCGTTGGCCAACAGGGAGCCAATACGGGAAATGTAGCTGTAGGAACTCAAGTCAATAAAGGACAACAGTATACCCATACTGAAACCACTAGCAATGGCCAACAAGGAATCAACACAGGAAATCTCGCATTTGGTGGCAGCGTTGGCCAGCAAGGAGCAACCACAGGAAATGTTGGTGTTGGCAGTCAACTCAATAAAGCCCTTGGGAACATCTTAGGTTACGCCGTCGACAGCCTTGGCAAAGCAGGAAACGTCTCGTGGATTGTTACTGGCGCCAGTAAGGGCAATAAAGGACACGAGTTTATCTTTGGTAAAAACGTTGGTGGCGTTGGCCAACAAGGAAATCAGGGTAATAAAGGGCAAGAAATAGCCTATGGAAACACAGCTGGAGGCGTTGTTATAGGAAATCTTGCACCTACTAATGAACTCAATAATGGCAAAGAAAGTACCTTAGGTTACACAATTGGCAGTCTTGGCAAACTGGGAACGGTCTCGTGGAATATAACTGGTGCCGGTCATGGCATTAAAGAAAACGAAATCAGCTTTGGTAAAAACGTTACAAGCGCTGCCCAACAAGGACCTACCACAGGGAATGTTGCTGTTGGCAATCAACTTAATAAAGGCCAAGAGAATCTCCTTGCTTACACAGTTAGCAGTCTTTGCAGACTTGGCAAACTAGGAACCATCACATGGAATATTAATGGTGCCAGTCAAGGCATTAAAGGTGCTGGATTCAGCTTTGGCAATAGACTTAGCAGCGTCGCCCAACAAGGATACAACGCTGGGAATGTTGCTGTTGGGAATAAAATCCAAGGGAACATCTTTAGTTACACTTTGGGCAGTCTTTGCGATCTTGGCAACCAAGGAATAATATCATGGAACATTAATGGAGGCAGTCATGCCATAAAAGGACATGGTTTCAACTTTGGTAATAAAGTAAACATCGCCGGCCAAAAAGGTGCAGTCAAAGGGAACGTTGCTATCAGTAATCAAGTCAACAAAGGCCAAGAAATGACTTTTGGCAACACGGCCGGTAGTATAGGCCAGCAGGGGGTCAACGCAGGTAATGTTGCTATTGGCAATCAACTCAATAAAGGCCAAGGAAACATCTTTGGCAACGCTCTGAGCAATTTTGGCAAGTTAGGAACCATCTCATGGAATATTAAAGGCGCCGGTCATGGCATTAAAGGACATGGTTTCAACTTCGGTAATAAAGTAAACACGGTCGGCCAGCCAGGTGCCATCAAAGGGAATGTAGCTGTCAGTAATCAAGTCAACAAAAGCCAAGAAATGACCTTTGGCACAACAGCTGGCAACATTGGCCAGCAAGGAATCAACGCTGGAAATGTTGCGGTTGGTAATCAACTCAATAAAGGTCAAAACCTGGGGAATCTTGGCAAACTAGGAAGCATCTCATGGAATATTAAAGGCGCTAGTCATGGCATTAAAGGACATGGTTTCAACCTCGGTAATAAAGTCAACATGGTCGGCCAACAAAATGCCATCAAAGGGAATGTTGCTGTCGGTAATGAGGTCAACAAAGGCCAAGAAATGACATTTGGTAAAACTACTGGTAGCGTTGGTCAGCAGGGAATCAACGCTGGAAATGTTGCTGTTGGCAACCAACTTAATAAAGGCCAAGGGAACATTTCTGGTCAAATTCTGGGCGGTCTTGGCAAACTAGGTACCATCTCATGGAATATCAATGGCGCCAGTCATGGCATTAAAGGACATGGCGTCAACTTTGGTAACAAGGTAAGCGTCGTCGGCCAACATGGTGCAGCCAAAGGGATTATTGCTGTCTTCAATCAAGTCAACAAAGGCCAAAAAATGACTTTTGGCAAGACAGCTGGCAGCGTTGGCCAACAAGGGATCAACGCAGGTAATGTTGCTGTTGGCACTCAGTTCAATAAAGGCAATACGAACATCTTTGGCAACACTCTGGGCAATTTCGGCAAACTAGGAAGCATCTCATGGAATATTAAAGGCGCTAGTCTTGGCATTAAGGGACATGGTTTCAACTTTGGTAATAAAGTGAACATGGTCGGCCAGCCAGGTGCCATCAAAGGGAATATAGCTGTCAGTAATCAAGTCAACAAAAGCCAAGAAATGACCTTTGGCACGACAGTTGGTAGCGTTGGCCAGCAGGGGATCAACGGTGGAAATGTTGCTGTTGGAAATCAGCTCAATAAAGGCCAAGGAAACATTTTTGGTAACACTCTGGGCGGTCCTAGCAAACTAGGAACCATGTCGTGGAAAATAAATGGTGCCAGCCATGGCATTAAAGGACATGGCTTAAACTTCGGCAATAAAGTAAGCACCGTCGGGCAACAGGGAGCCCTTAAAGGGAATGTTGCGTTGGGCAATCAAGGCAGCAAAGGTACAGTTATGACTTTTGGTAACATTGCTGGTAACGTTGTTCAACAGGGGACCAACACCGGAAATGTTGCTGTTGGCGCTCAACTCAATAAAGGTCAAGGGAACATCTTTGGTCACACTCTGGGCAGTATTGGTAAACTAGGAACCATTTCATGGAAAATAAAAGGTCCCAGTCATGGAATTGAAGGACTTGGTATCAACTTTGGTAGTAAAGTCAGCATTGCGAGCCAACAAGGTGCAAACAAAGGAAATGTTGCCGTCGGCAATCAAGGCAATAAAGGTACAGTAATGCACTTTGGCAAAACTGCTGGTATCGTTGGGTGGAAGGGGACAAACGTAGGAAATGTTGCTGTTGGCAATCAATTTAATAAAGGCCAAGGGAACATCTTTGGTCACACTCTGGGCAGTACTGGTAAACTAGGAACCATTTCATGGAAAATAAAAGGTCCCAGTCATGGAATTAAAGGACTTGGTATCAACTTTGGTAATAAAGTAAGCATTACTGGCCAACAAGGAGGCAACAAAGGAAATGTTGCTGTCGGTATTCAAGGCAACAAAGGTACAGTAATGCACTTTGGCAAAACTGCTGGTATCGTTGGGTGGAAAGGGACAAACGTAGGAAATGTTGCTGTTGGCAATCAATTCAATAAAGGCCAAGGGAACATCTTTGGTCACACACTAGGCAGTATTGGTAAACTAGGAACCATTTCATGGAAAATAAAAGGTCCCAGTCATGGAATTGAAGGACTTGGTGTCAACTTTGGTAGTAAAGTAAGCATTGCGAGCCAACAAGGAGGCAACAAAGGAAATGTTGCCGTCGGTATTCAAGGCAACAAAGGTACAGTAATGCACTTTGGCAAAACTGCTGGTATCGTTGGGTGGAAGGGGACAAACGTAGGAAATGTTGCTGTTGGCAATCAATTCAATAAAGGCCAAGGGAACATCTTTGGTCACACTCTGGGCAGTACTGGTAAACTAGGAACCATTTCATGGAAAATAAAAGGTCCCAGTCATGGAATTAAAGGACTTGGTATCAACTTTGGTAATAAAGTAAGCATTACTGGCCAACAAGGAGGCAACAAAGGAAATGTTGCTGTCGGTATTCAAGGCAACAAAGGTACAGTAATGCACTTTGGCAAAACTGCTGGTATCGTTGGGTGGAAAGGGACAAACGTAGGAAATGTTGCTGTTGGCAATCAATTCAATAAAGGCCAAGGGAACATCTTTGGTCACACACTAGGCAGTATTGGTAAACTAGGAACCATTTCATGGAAAATAAAAGGTCCCAGTCATGGAATTGAAGGACTTGGTGTCAACTTTGGTAGTAAAGTAAGCATTGCGAGCCAACAAGGAGGCAACAAAGGAAATGTTGCCGTCGGTATTCAAGGCAACAAAGGTACAGTAATGCACTTTGGCAAAACTGCTGGTATCGTTGGGTGGAAGGGGACAAACGTAGGAAATGTTGCTGTTGGCAATCAATTCAATAAAGGCCAAGGGAACATCTTTGGTCACACTCTGGGCAGTACTGGTAAACTAGGAACCATTTCATGGAAAATAAAAGGTCCCAGTCATGGAATTAAAGGACTTGGTATCAACTTTGGTAATAAAGTAAGCATTACTGGCCAACAAGGAGGCAACAAAGGAAATGTTGCTGTCGGTATTCAAGGCAACAAAGGTACAGTAATGCACTTTGGCAAAACTGCTGGTATCGTTGGGTGGAAAGGGACAAACGTAGGAAATGTTGCTGTTGGCAATCAATTCAATAAAGGCCAAGGGAACATCTTTGGTCACACACTAGGCAGTATTGGTAAACTAGGAACCATTTCATGGAAAATAAAAGGTCCCAGTCATGGAATTGAAGGACTTGGTGTCAACTTTGGTAGTAAAGTAAGCATTGCGAGCCAACAAGGAGGCAACAAAGGAAATGTTGCCGTCGGTATTCAAGGCAACAAAGGTACAGTAATGCACTTTGGCAAAACTGCTGGTATCGTTGGGTGGAAGGGGACAAACGTAGGAAATGTTGCTGTTGGCAATCAATTCAATAAAGGCCAAGGGAACATCTTTGGTCACACTCTGGGCAGTACTGGTAAACTAGGAACCATTTCATGGAAAATAAAAGGTCCCAGTCATGGAATTAAAGGACTTGGTATCAACTTTGGTAATAAAGTAAGCATTACTGGCCAACAAGGAGGCAACAAAGGAAATGTTGCTGTCGGTATTCAAGGCAACAAAGGTACAGTAATGCACTTTGGCAAAACTGCTGGTATCGTTGGGTGGAAAGGGACAAACGTAGGAAATGTTGCTGTTGGCAATCAATTCAATAAAGGCCAAGGGAACATCTTTGGTCACACACTAGGCAGTATTGGTAAACTAGGAACCATTTCATGGAAAATAAAAGGTCCCAGTCATGGAATTGAAGGACTTGGTGTCAACTTTGGTAGTAAAGTAAGCATTGCGAGCCAACAAGGAGGCAACAAAGGAAATGTTGCCGTCGGTATTCAAGGCAACAAAGGTACAGTAATGCACTTTGGCAAAACTGCTGGTATCGTTGGGTGGAAGGGGACAAACGTAGGAAATGTTGCTGTTGGCAATCAATTCAATAAAGGCCAAGGGAACATCTTTGGTCACACTCTGGGCAGTACTGGTAAACTAGGAACCATTTCATGGAAAATAAAAGGTCCCAGTCATGGAATTAAAGGACTTGGTATCAACTTTGGTAATAAAGTAAGCATTACTGGCCAACAAGGAGGCAACAAAGGAAATGTTGCTGTCGGTATTCAAGGCAACAAAGGTACAGTAATGCACTTTGGCAAAACTGCTGGTATCGTTGGGTGGAAAGGGACAAACGTAGGAAATGTTGCTGTTGGCAATCAATTCAATAAAGGCCAAGGGAACATCTTTGGTCACACACTAGGCAGTATTGGTAAACTAGGAACCATTTCATGGAAAATAAAAGGTCCCAGTCATGGAATTGAAGGACTTGGTGTCAACTTTGGTAGTAAAGTAAGCATTGCGAGCCAACAAGGAGGCAACAAAGGAAATGTTGCCGTCGGTATTCAAGGCAACAAAGGTACAGTAATGCACTTTGGCAAAACTGCTGGTATCGTTGGGTGGAAGGGGACAAACGTAGGAAATGTTGCTGTTGGCAATCAATTCAATAAAGGCCAAGGGAACATCTTTGGTCACACTCTGGGCAGTACTGGTAAACTAGGAACCATTTCATGGAAAATAAAAGGTCCCAGTCATGGAATTAAAGGACTTGGTATCAACTTTGGTAATAAAGTAAGCATTACTGGCCAACAAGGAGGCAACAAAGGAAATGTTGCTGTCGGTATTCAAGGCAACAAAGGTACAGTAATGCACTTTGGCAAAACTGCTGGTATCGTTGGGTGGAAAGGGACAAACGTAGGAAATGTTGCTGTTGGCAATCAATTCAATAAAGGCCAAGGGAACATCTTTGGTCACACACTAGGCAGTATTGGTAAACTAGGAACCATTTCATGGAAAATAAAAGGTCCCAGTCATGGAATTGAAGGACTTGGTGTCAACTTTGGTAGTAAAGTAAGCATTGCGAGCCAACAAGGAGGCAACAAAGGAAATGTTGCCGTCGGTATTCAAGGCAACAAAGGTACAGTAATGCACTTTGGCAAAACTGCTGGTATCGTTGGGTGGAAGGGGACAAACGTAGGAAATGTTGCTGTTGGCAATCAATTCAATAAAGGCCAAGGGAACATTTTCGGTCACACTCTGGGCAGTATTGGTAAGCTTGGAACCATTTCATGGAAAATGAAAGGTCCCAGTCATGGAATTAAAGGACTTGGTGTCAACTTTGGTAATAAAGTAAACATTGCGGGCCAACAAGGAGGCAACAAAGGAAATGTTGCCGTCGGTATTCAAGGCAACAAAGGTACAGTAATGCACTTTGGCAAAACTGCTGGTATCGTTGGGTGGAAAGGGACCAACGTAGGAAATGTTGCTGTTGGCAATCAATTCAATAAAGGCCAAGGGAACATTTTCGGTCACACTCTGGGCAGTATTGGTAAGTTTGGAGCTATTTCATGGAACGTTAATGGCGCCATTCATGGCATTAAAGGACATGGTGTCAACTTCGGTAATAAAGTAAGTATCGTTGGCCAACATGGTGTCAACAAAGCGAATGTTGCTGGTGGCAATCAGCACAATGGTGGCCAGGGAGACATCTTCGGTTACACTTTGGGCAGCCTTTGCATTCTTGGCAAACTAGGAACCATTTCATGGAATATAAGTGGGGCTTCGCATGGCATTAAAGGACTTGGGTTTAACTTTGGCAGCGTTGGCCAGGAGGTCAACAAAGGTCAAGAAATCGCCTTTGGCAATACTGCTGGCTACGGTGGGCAGCAAGGAACCAATGCCGGAAATGTTGCTGTTGGCAATCATCTTAATAAAGGCAACGTTAATATTCTTGATTACACTGTGGGCACGCTTTGTAGTCTTGCGAAACTGGGAAGCATTTCATGGAATATTAATGGTGCCAGTCATGTCATAAAAGGAAACGGGTTCAACTTTGGTAATACCGTTAGTAGCGTCGGCGAACAAGGAGTCAACAGAGGGAACGTTGTTGTTAATCAAGTCAGCAAAGGCCAAGAAATGACCTTTGGCAACACTGCTGGCAGCGTGGGCCAACAAGGGATCAACGCAGGAAATGTTGCTGTTGGGAAACAACTTAATAAAGGTCAAAAGAACATCTTAGGTCAAACTCTGGGCAGTCTTGGCAAACTAGGAAGGATCTCGTGGAATATCAATGGTGCCAGCCATGGTATAAATGGACACGGCGTTAACTTTGGCAGCTTCGGCCAAGAAGAAGTCAACGCAGGGAATGTTGCTATCGGCAATCAAGGCAGTAAAGGACAAACGCTCACCTTTGGCAAAACCGCTGGTAGCGTTGGCCAACAGGGAGCCAACACGGGAAATGTAGCTGTGGGAAATCAAGCCAATAAAGGACAACAGCATGCTTTTAGTTTAACCGCTGGCAAAGTTGGGAAACAAGGAAACATAGCGGGAAATGTTCCGGTCGGTAATCAAGGCAATAACGGCCAAGAAATGATCTTTGGCAACACTGCCGGCAGCGTTGGGCAGCAAGGAACCAACGCAGGAAATGTTGCTGTTGGGACTCAGCACAACGGCTGATAATGATCGTTTCGTCAGTCATTCCCCAGCGCTGATTGCAGATTTTAGTCAAAGATCAGGCATTTCTTTACTTTTGAAATATTGTTATGTCAAAATATAAAAGGAGCGATATTTGTAAACGTAAAAAACAATAAAGAGCTTTAAAATGCCTATTTTTGTTTCGGTGATGAGATTATGCCATTTCAAATTTGCCTTTTCTCAATTTTCTCAATGTGCCAATACGGGTATTCGTGCGAAACCATTCGTATGAAAAGATGTTCCAACTGCACTTTTAGATTTTCATACAAATCAAACTCACTTCAGTCATATGAAATGTTTTGCACGAGACATCATTTTTAAAACGAGGAAAACGGCAGCTCAAAAGTGACCTACTTTTAACCCCATGAATGCTATATATATTAATATGGCTCTCCAAACATTGTGTGGCCGTAAAGGGTAATGTTAAGTTGCAATGATTTCCTTTTAACGAGTCAGTTAGAATTTTGAACGTTGACGTAATCTCAGTGGAATGTAAACCTTCTTTTGCTTTGAGAGGTATACCATGGTTTCTAGGTGTGGTCATTTAATTAACAAGATGGCAAATGCCCGGGGGGGGGATCCAATGTAAAAAGGACGGGGGAGCTCATCGTACCTTTTAGGGGTCAAAAAAGGGTTTTGGTACCTCTTAGGGTTGAAAAAAAATTCAAGCCACGCCCACAAAACAGGATCTTGGCACCTCTTAGGGGTCCTTTCAAAATTTCCGACGAGCACCCCCGTCCTTTTCCTATTGAAGCTCCCTCGGGGAGGGGGGGGGAGGGGGCAAATGTTCTGTTCTGTTAAGCTATTTCGAGTAACGGCTACTTGAGGAATACATCGTTCAGCATTCAACTTGTAACTTAAGTATATAGAAACGACTGCGTATTGGCTATAGATTTTTCCTTTAATTTTGTTTAGTCGTGAACTGACTTTATGATCTTAAACGCGCAAATGACCTGAGAAAAGCCGTAATTGAGTACTTGTAATTTCACTGTAATGCTTATGATATAGATAACGTAATGCTTGATATCATGTTTGACCCTTAAACTGTACTTAAATATGTTGGTGTATGATTAAAACATCATTCTTCTGATCTTCCTCAGAAATCTTCGGAAAGTACGTTTTGTGCCCTTTCAAATGAGATATGGTAGACTGCTCGGCTATTAATGCTTGGTGAAATATTAAGTAAAGAGCACGGTGTGCTAAATTTGTCGTTTATCTCACCCAGAGTAGAATAAGTTTTGCGCTCTTCCTCTAAAGCTTCCGGGGCCTCATAGCGCGTTTGCCCTTGAACTCTGCTTGACTCAGCACGGACAATCTTTACAACTTTCGAAAGATTTGATAGAAATTAAACCACCTTTTGGGGACAAAATTATCCATAAAGAGTTTCCTGCCCTCCNCCCCCCCCCTCCCCTTCCACCCCATTACATACAAAAAACAAAGCAAAAGCCATTCCATATGTAAGTAAGTAATTTATTATACGTCAATAACACGGGTAGTGCTTGCGCAATCTACCAAGGCAGAGACTCATGTTAAAAGTGCTTGACGGTAATAATAAAATGCTTCTAAAAGCTTATAAAATCTGAGAAATTAAGAGTAAGATCAAGACTAAATGCTTAACAAAATTGCAATAGTTCAGCTAAATAAGGCAAAAATACTGATCATGCAAAAAGTTTGCAACCAAAGCATTGCTTTTCTCACTTAGAATTACCATCTTTACGCCCAGTTCATGTGTGAACAATCAGCATCAACCAGTTCTAAAAGCGTACAAATACTGCATTACAAATTAAAGTTAACTTAGTAAAACATCTGTTTAGTGTTAAAAAGCGGAACGTGTATTCAAGCTTATTCCTGTTCCTTAATGTTTCCCGTATTGGTTCCTTTTTGGTCAATCGTTTCACTACTCTTTCCTGTAAAGATTAACTGGCTGGGTGCATCTCGTGGTTTTACTAGAGAAATAAGTACGTCAAATTAGAAGAATTAAACCTCAGGTTTTCGGTGAGCATAAAAAGATTTCATTAGTAACACGTTTCCAGGAAAGATCCAATTTCCAGGTACCTTCCATTAACTATCTACCATCGTCAGTGGCTGTTCATAATTAACAATTATTCCACGAGCGCGCGTTGGATATGAATGATGAGATGGTAGATAGCCAACGAAGCTAAACAGGGCGCGTACTGCCAAGTTGGATAAAATCATCCCATATTCAACAAGCGCGAGTTGAATAATTGTTTTATTAAAAATGCCCCCAAAATACAGAAAATTAAAATAAAATAAAAATAAAAACGCTCCCAAAAATTACGCGTAAGCTTACCATATTTGCAGAGCTAGTATAATGGCTCATATACCATGAAGGTTAAGTCAATGAAAACTCTTGAATTGCATTATCCAATGATGCAGTTTTCAATATCAGAAGATATTTTGCCCAGTAAAGGGGGGCTGGGGGTATTCCATGTTGTCCAAAAAGTTGTTGAAGACATCGAAAGACAAGCTTGTGGCTTCCCAAAAAGGCCTTAGGAAACATTTTTAGGAGTACGACGCGTATTCGAGGATGACGCTTAATAGAAAAGTGTTTTCGTGTGACCTAACGGGAACAAATAGAATGGATAGGGATAGACTTCTTCTAGGAAATTGATACGGATCTGTTAGAGTATGCTTCCGCTTTTCGTAAACATCCAATCGGCGAACGACAGCTTGCTTGGTGTTTTGATACGTACTTTCTTGAAAGCTAGTCGATTTTACCATCTCGCGATATAGGTACTTGTGTGCAGTTGGACGCTGAACACGAAACCTGCGACTTATTTCTCCAGCTGGAAGCATGGCCACCATCGCCAATACCTCATTTCTCAAGTCTTTAAATTCAGAAGAGCGCTAGGCTTGAAGTTGCACCCGTATTTGTAAATCGAAACTTCACAACAACAACTTCGACTACTTTCCAACTTCGGCGCGAAAGTTTGCTTAACGGCTGTAAAACTTCAGATGTTGGGCTACCAAATTTGTTCTGTTTGCATCCAGTAACAATAATTTTTCCGTCCCGTGTCCACGCTTAGATGAAAACGACGATAATTTAGGCTTCACTGCGAGACACTCGTTGAATCAATCGATATCCACGCTGTAACCCCCTTACAGAAACTAACCATTACAATACTACCTTACAATAGCTTAGGATTACAGGGCGTTTCTTCCCAGAAAATTTTTATGCATACATGAAGAACATAGTTGAATACAAGCAATGCCAGGTTTTCAAGCCATATGTTCGTTTCGTTAATCGTTTTTCTCTTGAGTTTTCAAATATGTTTCCAAATATTTTATATGTTACTGTAGTTTCTATGCCATGATGTTAAATATTGTGCACAACGTTTCCGTGGTATACCATAGAATATGTAAGGTATCCCACTTGTCACTTGTATTTTGTTGATATACCCACGAGCCTGAAGGCTCGTGGGTACGTATACCGAGAAAACAAAAGCGACTCGCAAGGGATATTCCATGGTAAATCAGTCAAAAGCGTTGCATAAGTAGCATTTTCACATGCAATCGAAAGAAAAAAAAATCATTACCGTACCTTCTTTACCGTTGTATAGAATTATCCCCTCGTTCTTTCCTTCTTGAGGAATGTTTCCAACATATGGTTTACCCGGCAATTTGATGGTCCCCGTGTTCAAGCCTTGCTGGATAATGGTGCCATTGTTTGGCTTAAAATCGTAATCCTTTGGGTCGTTAAGAGGGCTTGCTGGAAAATGGGAAGATAAGAATCGAATTAGGAGATTGGTAATCAAAGCACTAAAGCTAACACTTGATGCTACAACAACGGTATCAAACCATTGACCAATGATTAGCAAATAAGCTTTGTAGGGAGCCCATTACCCGGAGCCTTAATCTCGCATACTAGCCCTGTGAGTCAACCCTTTCCCGTATTTTTCTATTTTTAGAGACAGCTCTTATGGGAGTTTTCACACGACCCCTTTTCAATACCCAATGATGCCCCAGCTATGACCTTTCTTTGTTTCAACAAAGACTGAGACCTCACTTTTGCCCTCTATTTTGCATTTTCTATCTGCAGAAACAGGATATTTCGTGGGAAACCAAGAGACCTTTGCGCTCATCACCTTTTTAAGAAAAGAATGATACGGGAAAGGCTTGACTCCAGGTGATGTGGTCCTGGCTTTGTACGTATCTTTTTGACACAGAAGTCCACCAGATAAAAACAATAACGCCCCCTTATTAGCCTGCAGTGGTTACAACTTCAACTGATTTCCATGAAGCCCATTTGTTTGTTCCGAGCCGCCATCAATTTTCGAAAATATAAGGTGGCTCTGAACCCTCTTCGCTATTCCAGCTGTTACCTTTAGGGTGGAAGTCTCTGGTTATGGTTTCGGCAACTTCTCCGGCGTTTGAACCTTTCTGTTCGATGGAGCCATTGTTAGCCGCGAAGTAGAATTTGTCGGCATTACTCTGACGTTTGACTGGTAAACGAATATAAATCACGGTAGTTAGTAACATATTTCAATTTTCAAGCACCATTCTTAAGGTGATGTTTTAACGCTGGTTTTTAGTCCTTGTTACACGAGACAACTTTTGACGCAACTTTGTTGCGGCAACGGTCGGTAATGGCATGATACACGAGACGATTTTCCACGCAACATGGAAAATTCGGGCAACAATGCTCAAGGTTTTGAATCGCTTTCACAAACCTGCAACGTGCTGAATTTATCTTAGCAAATAAGGTAATTGTAAGTAGCAAAGTTATTGTAAATAGTTTTGCGTTTTTGTCATGAGCCCCTGGCTCGGGAGATTTGGCAACCACTCCCCACGTTTACCACTCAAAATAAATTTACCTTACCCTACCTTACCTTACCTTTCCGCAATGAAATGTTGCGTTAAAAGTCGCCCTGTGCGCCATCGATTTTAAACGCAACATTGTTGCGTTAAAAATAGTCGGCGGTAAAAATCGACAACATCAACATCGGTGTAACATCACCTCTAAACTCATGTTTTAGTACATCATCAGCAACCATAACCGTGGCAATGGTTGGATATATGATCTTAATTAGCCCAAATTTTTTTTTGCGATTTTATTTCCCCGTTTTCAATTTAGTTTCGATTGAGAAAATACGTCAAACACTCGTTAGTGCTACGAGACATGTTGTCAGCTCTCTTATCGATATTTGGAAATATGGTCAAGCATGGTCTTCTTTTTCGCTTCTAGATTTTTTAGCAAAATGGCCAAGTTGATTTGACTTTTCAGAAAACTCAGTACGTGCATGATAAATTGACCTCATATTATATACATTATTATATTATATATTATTATATTGTTACAAATGTTAGCTGAACTAAGGGAGTTCAATTGAAAATGCATAGGCACATAAATGGACCTACACCGTATGAACTTCGGATTAACAAAACTGCCAGACTAATCGATTTACCATTCTAAACAAACCTAATGAATACATTTTAACAAAAACCTTGTGCACATTTCTGCGTTTATGACAATATACTTTGTTTCAGCTTTGGCAGTTTGTTGCCTCATTTCAATCTGGTGATACTCTTGAGAATTCTCGCCTTTGAATATGGCAATGTTCGCGTGTGTACGAAGGAATAATTTTAAGATGGATAACTGGAACAATTCTGTCGAGAGTATCACGTGGTCTGCACTGGAAAAACAAGTAGACTAAGCTAAAAAGGTCTATTTTACTAAGTAAAGTGTTTTATTTCAGGCTCACTAGTGAACTTACTGTGATGAGTAACGACCTCCCCCGATCGAAAGTCCAAAAATAGAGATCTCTCTGGTAGCAGCGATAATAAAGCTCGATAGATTCACACGTATCAAGGTTTTTTTTTGTTGTTGCTTTTTTGTTTTTTTTTTTGTTTTTGCTTCTTTTTTGCTTGGATTTCCGGAGTGGGAGGCACTTTCGCTTCTCTGGATATGTGTTCATGTTATATGTGGTCCATACGCATCCATGCCACTGTGTAACGGTACAAGTTGAGGTCCTTCCTCACATTTGCATCGCGCATCCTTACTGCGCATAATTTATGGCGTCATTAGAGCGCGCTCGTGTACGCGCCTATTGAAAACATGACGGATTTGCCTTGATATTGAGCTCTGTCAATGGAAAAATGGCTCTAGCTCACCAACGAGCACGGGGACCCCAATTTTTTTTCCAGTCATTGTAATCAACTAATCATAAGCTTTGCGTAAGAAAAGACTGATCTAATTTCTATTGCTGAAAATTGAATAAATAAGAAAAATAGCAGATACACTGTGGTCTTTTCTATTTTGCAGTCGGTAACCAC